CCCCGCCGCTGCCGCTGCGGCCGCGGCTGCGGCTGCGGCACCGGCCGCGAGCGCGATGCCGGCGCCGCCGGGCGCGGCGGCGGCCACGAGCGCGGCCGCGGCCGTGGTGGCGGCCGTGGTGGCCTCGGAGGCGGCGGAGGCAGAGGCCGAGGCCGAGGCGGCGGCGGCGTCCTTGTCTCCCTTGGCGGCGATAGCCTGGTCCAGGCGCGCGATCACCTCTTTCACGCGCTGCACGCGCTCCTCCTGCGTCTTTGGCGCCGCAGGCTGCGGCGACGCGGCTGCCACCACCCCGGTCCCCGACTGCGAGGCCCCAGGGGCGGCGGGGGACGGGTGGCCGGGTGAGTTCGCTGCCTGCAGCTGTTGCGCCTCCTGATCTGTCTTGTGGCCTGGGGTCTCCTGGGCCAAGCCGGCTGCAGGGTCCCGCCAAGGGAGGTGGTGCTGCTGGTCGCTGTGTTGCCTAGCTGGCTGCTGCTGCTGCTGCTGCTGCTGCTGCTGCTGCTGCTGCTGTTGCTGCTGCTGCTGCTGCTGCTGCAAGTGAGCGTGCTGCTGGGCCTGCTGTTGCTGACGGTCTGGCTGCTGGCCTGGCTGATCTGGCTGCAGGTGCTGCTCTGCCTGCGGCTGCGTCGCAACTGCTGGCGCCTCCGCAGCTGCCGCGTCGCCGCCTGCACCTGCGACGGCCGTCGCCGCCGGTGCACCCGCCGTCCCCGCCGCCCCCGCGGTCTGTGCGCCTGCCGCCTGCGGCTGCGCGCCCTTGACGCCGCCGCCGCCGCCGCCGCTCCTGCCCTCCTTGCGGCTGCCCCGCCCCCCGTCCCTGCCTCCCGCCTCCATGTCGTGCGCCACGCGCGTGAGGGCCGTGAGCAGCTCGCTGCTCTCGCTGCTGGCGGCTGCGCGCAGTGCCTGGTCCGTGATCTGCATGGCCAGGGTGCTGACGGCCGTCACGTTGAGGGCGCGCTGCATCGCCAGGACCGCCGTCTCGCGGATCTGGGGTTGTGTGGGCGAGGGAAGATTCAAGGGGTGTAGGGTACAGACTAGGGACCCTAGGGGAGGGACCGTGTGCGTGCCTGTGTAGATTGCCGCCCAGCCCAGGCGGTGCATCTGGGGGTGCTCAGGGCGGGGCACATGACAGGGACCCTCAACCTGCTCAGCTCTTTAGCTGCCCGCTGCATCAAGAGCCCTGGTCCACGCCGTTTGTTTGACCGCACCAAATGGATGGCTCGCCCCACGACCCCAGCCTCGCCATCACATGGCACCCCCCTCGTGCCTCCTCCGCGGCCGCCCTCACCTGAGAGTCGTGCTGGTGGGTGCTGCGCGCCTGCTTCACCGCCAGCGCCACCTCATCCAGCACGCGGACTGTCGCGTTGAGCGCGCCCAACGCCACCACAGCACTCGCCCGCACGCCCTCCAGGCTGCGCCCCGCGGTCGCGTTGTGCGCCGCCGTCAGGCTGCTGTACACACCCAGGGCCTTGCCCAACTCACGGGCCAGATCACCCGCGCGCGACCGTGGAGGCGGCGACGGCGGTGGCACGTGCGCGGCCGCGGCGTCTGCCAGCCCCTCGGGGCGGACGGATTTCGGCGTGACCGCGTGCTGCTGCTCCTGCTGCTGGTGCTGCTGCTGCTGCTGCTCCTGCTGCTGCTGCTGCTGCTGCTGCTGCTCGGGCGCCGCTGCTGCTGCCGCTGCAGGTGCAGCCGCCTGCGGCGACCCGGGCTGCTGCGCAACTGTGCCGCTGTCAGCCTGGCCGTCACCAGCGGGGGCTCCCGCACCGCCGCCTGCGTCGGCCGCGGCGTCTGCTGCGCCCTGCACCGCCTTTGCGGCCTCCTGCTTGATCGCCGCGATCGCAATGTCGAGTTTGGCGACGACGGCGTTGACGCCGGTGATGGTGGCGCGCATGTCGGCCTCGATGGTGGACAGAGCGCTCTCGACGCTGCACAAGGTGCGGTGAGCGGCAGTTGAGCCGGACGGCGGCAGTTGTCAGACGCATGGGCGCAATGTGAGAGACACCGGCAGTGGCACGTGGTGGAAGCCACACGCGCCAGCAGGGCATGCTGCAGGCGCAGAGGGGCTGGCGGCGCTGCCCGTCTTAAGCCGTGGCAACCAACGCGCCCCACCTGCCCAGCGCCCTGTCGTCGACCACCTTCTGCTTGTGCTGCGCCAGCTGGCCCTGAGGATCAAGGCGCGAGTGAGGGCCGCTGCAGAGGTCGGCAGGAAAGTCTTGACCCTGAGGGGCGCTTCTGAATAAATGGACCCATTGTCGGCCTGAAGACACACCGTCAGGCGGCAACAAGCGCGTGCTAGCACATCCCACATGCATCTGTGTATATTTGACAATTGCAGCAGCCCTGTGAGCACGATCACCCTGGGCGGGGCCGCAAGACACAAGGGCCCGCACCTGGATGTCCCAGATCGCCGCATGCGCCCCCTTGCCGCCCGCAGCCCCGTCCGCGCTCTTGTTGGCCACCGCGCTGAGCGCTGCTGCCGCCGCCTCCAGCGCGCCCATCGTCTCATTGGGCGTCCGCCTCACAGACCCCAGCTGTTGCGCCGCATCCTGAGGTGGCAGTCACGGCCGTGTGTGTGGGGGGGGAATATAAGGCGTTGGTCGTGGCGGCAAGGGTGGGGCGCACAAGTAAGCAAGGCTGCCTGGCCGCTGATCGCACCGCCATCCCTGGTATCCCTGGCTCGCCGGACGGTCTCAGGCACCAGCACAAGCTGCAAGCAGCAGCGCGGGCTCAGGCACAGTCCACTGCCAGCGTGCTTCGGCGAACTGCGCGGTGTGAGCCTGCAGGGGACATCGATCAAGCCGCGCGGCGCCCCGCGGCGCCGCACCTGCACAATGCTGATGGTGGCTGCCGCCTCCTTGGCCTTGATCTGCGCGTGCGCCGCCTCCGCCACCACCACCTCGTGCGCCACCAGCTCCTGGGCCAGCTGCACCACCGCGTTCTCCTCCACGATGCTGCCCAGGATGGCGTGAGTGCACATCACGCCCGCCACCACGCCAAACACCAGCAGGCTGCGCGCGACGCGCCGCCGCCACAGCCACGTCGCGCGTAGCTCCGGCGGCGCGAGCAGGCCGGGCTTGCCGGGGGCGGCGCCGGGGCCGCAGGCGGCGCCTGGCGCGCCGCCTGTCTTGGAGGGCGTCCCGCCAAACGCGCCGAACGTCACCTCGGGGTCCGGCCCCGCGAGGCGCAGGAAGCAGAGGGCCGGCATGATGAAGGATATGACAACGCTGGTGGTGGCGCCTGTGAGGCCGAAGATGAACTCCAGGTTTGGCAGCCACAGGGCCGCAGCCATGCCCAGGCCAAGCAGCAGGAACGTCAGCAGCGCGTGCTGTGGAAAGCTGAGGGCGACCTCCGCGTCGTGCGCCGCCAGGTGGGGGTCCAGGTGGGGGTCCACCATCGCCGCCGCCGCGCCGCTGCCGGCGCGCAGCAGGCCGGGCAGCGCGCCCGGGGGCGCGGGCACGGCGCCGCTGGCCGCGAAGCCGTTGCCGTCGGCGTGATCGCCCTGCGTGGCCGCGGTGCGGCGGCGCTCCACCGTGCTGCCGCCGCTGCCCACGGCGCCGCCGATCACCGTGCCCACCGGGTCGGCCTCCGGGCCCACCAGCACTGTGGAAAAGGATACCCCGCTGTCCTTGGAGCGCAGCTGCAACCCTGCAGCGCCGCCGTCGGTGAATCCGCGATCTGGGCCGCTCTGCCGGGCCTTGTCGCGCGCCCCGCCGCCGCCGCCGCCCCGCCTGGGCGGCGTGGCGCGCTGGAGGAGCGGCTGCACGATGGTGTAGAAGGGCAGGATGGCGAGAGGGATGCTGCCCAGCACCGCCAGCGCAAAGCAGGCCTTGATCGCGCGCTCGTATGCACCGCGCATGCCCTGGGCGTCTGCGCCGCCAAAGTTTCGCAGCACGTCCCCGGCGGTGCGTTGGCGGAAGGTGGTGTACGCGCAGATGCCCACGATCCAGTAGACCCCGGCCGTGATGGTCAGGGCCTTGGAGGGGGGGGGGGCGAGGCCCGTGGCGAGGGTGTGTGCGCGGTTAGAGCTGGGAGGACGGGTGTATTGCAGCCGGGGGCTTGCGCAATGGTGCTGGGCGGACGCTAGAGACTCAGCCCTGCACCCAAGACATCAAGACTGCGAGGCCGGCATCCCAAGGTCCCGAAAAAATGAGTGTGTGCACAACCATGGGAAAGCCTCGGGCTAGCTGGGGGCGGGCGGGTGCGGTGCAGGCGCGTGCGAGCGCACGGACCCCACCTGGTCTGTGACGGCGTTCATGCGCCGCACGCTGGGTGCGCTGAGCATCTCGTAGATCCCCAAAAAGTAGGGGTGGCCCGTGAAGGAGTAGGCCATCACGGGGAGGGCCACCAGGAAGCCAGACGGGTCCCAGGTCGCCATGGGGGCCGCCACGGCCGCGGTCGCGCCCGCGCCGCCGGGCAGCACGGCCATGAAGAAGATGACGGCCGTGAAGAGGCCCACGAACGCGACGCTGGCGGCGCTGAAGGCCGACATGACGGCGTGGTCGCGCACCACCAGCGCGACAGGCAGCGCGCCAAACAGGGTCACACCTGGACGGCGGCGGCGGCAGCGGCGGCAGTCGAGGGTTTGGGGGCAACAAGAGACCTTGCAGCTGCCGTGTGGCCGCAGCTGAATGCGCAGTGGGTGCCTCGCTGCACCTGCGACCCCAAACACACGCACATTCCAGCCGTCGCCCGCGCCCCTCCCCGCGCCCGGCCCCCTCACCCGCCATGTACATGCTGCGGCTGGGCTCTGCGCCGGGCGGGATGAGCGTCCCCGCCACGCTGGACAGAGTGTCAGCCAGGATGTTCAGGTAAGCCACGATGCAGCCCAGGTTGGAGGCGCAGATGCAGACCTCCAGCAGCAGGCGCCCCAGCCGCCCCGTCGCGTGCTCCGCCACCTGCGGCCGCGCCGGGCGGTCCGGCGAGGGCCGCGGGCGAGGGGGGTTTGGGGTGAGCAGGCTGTCTGCTGCCATGGACAGCAGCTGCTGGCGGGCAGGCGTGAGTCGGCCTGCGCTCCGTTACATGCTGCTGCCCTCAATGGCCTCAAATACTGCGATAAGCTTGCTGTGCAGCCCAGCCACGGCCATGTCAAAGTCTGGCTCGCATGCGGGGCAGACAGCAAGGGACTCACCCACCCCGTGCCGCACGCACCTGCTCGTACGTGCGCCGCCCCGAGAGGTGCGCGCAGTGCAGCAGCAGCTGGTACGACGCGCGTGTGGCCAGCATGGTGACGATCATGACCGTTGTGGCCAGCAGCGTGCCGCTGCTCTTGAAGCAGTAGGGGTAGCCCAGCACGCCGACGCCCATGATGCAGTTGACCATGTTCAGGACAGACTGGGAGTGGCTCGCCCTGGCGGGGCCGCCATGAGGAGGCTCGGGGGATCCCTTCACGGCAACGATAGAGAAGATCGCCGCGAGTGATTACGTATCCAGTACTGAGGCCGGCAGAGTGCACGCCACGATCCCTCCAGTCGCTGCTGCTGCTGCTGCTGTTGTTGCTGCTGCTGCCGCTGGTGAGCGGACAAAACGCGCCACTGGCCAGCCCTTGTCAGTATTTTGCATGTGCACACGAGACGCCGCATCAGCGCGCTCGACACGGCTTGCAGCAGCAGCCCGGGCTCCGTAGGTAACCGGACCCCCCGTACCTTGCGCCTCGCCAGCAGGTGCGCGGACTCGTCGTCAGCGTCGCTGCCCGAGCACATGGCTGCACCAAGAAGAGCGCCGAGCACAGATTGAGGCCACAAGGCAAAAGTGTCGCAGCAGGCTGGCTGCAACCGCAGATGCAGAGCGAGCCCAGAAGACACGCATCGCGACGCACGCAGCACTCATCTGGAGCTGCGCCGTCACTCTGGTTTGCGCCGTGGCAGAGCACGTGGCTTTTGTTGATAGCCCACCTCTGTTGCGCTGTGTCGTGCCGGTGATATTGGGATTGGACAGCGTGCGCTTCACCGAGTCTGACACGCTGCGCCATGCCATGCTGGTCCTCCTCATGGGCTTGGCGCGCTCAACAGCGCGCCGTCCTGCGCCGTGTCCGTGCTACAACATGGGCCCCGCCAGGCGAGTGTAAGTATCGAGCATCCAACGCAGTGATCCGCTGGCCGTGGCCGAACAGGACAGAACGACCTGCCCCGGACCTGATCTACACAGGTTGTGCTGCTGTGCAACCGTTCTGCTGTGTGCGGAAGTCTGTAGCGCAAGTATATCGGCAAGCTACTGCATGCAAGCGCTCAGATTCCCCAGCAAACCCAGTGCCGTATGCGAAGTGTGCGGCAGGCCGGCAGCTGAGCTGCAGCTGGCTTCATTACTCATCTCTAACAGAAAGTAGCGCCCCTTGCCACTGTCAACAGGCCATGTGTGGCGCATCAAGGGGATTTGAACTAGAATTTGCAGCAGATCCACATCCAGGGACCGGGGAGGACAGCAGAAGGCTGGCCTTCTGCACGTAATGCTAGCTTTGCAGCAGGTTGGTTTGTGACGCCCCACGTGGTTGCTATAATAAGAGCGCCTTAGAAAACTCACAACCGGCGGTGCCTGCTTGCTGTGCAGGGTCATAGTATGGGTGAAACTTATTTCGCCCCCCCCTCCCCCCGTTAGACTCAGCTCTCCGTTCAGAACAAACCAGTACATTCTGTGACACTGGCGGCCCAGCATGATGTAGAGCGGGTCCGAAGGAATACAGGCGACATGTACATCTTGATCTCACAGGTGGTTCCTGAGAACATGGCATATTGCGTGGCCTACAGGCACCCTTTACAATTTAGTAGCCTCTGCCAACATGTAGTTGAGGACTGTGGTGGCACAACATGCGTCTCCACAACGGCACGTGAAGAGGCGTGCTGAGTTCGCGCAGTCAAGTGCAAAAAGTTTTAGTCGTACTACCTGACTGGTGGGTATAGCTTGAACAGCAGCTATTGCTAGCGCCCAGCTCTGGATGAATCCACTGCTTTGTTGATGATGTCAGCGGCTTTTGATTTGGTTGCACTCGTTCTGAGATTTGTGGTGTGACTGCGTGCGAGTGATTCATCCACACAGCCCGGCATGCGGCGGAGGGGGGAATCCATCCGTCTGCGGCAACAGCTCAGTAGATGCGCTTCCTTCCGTTTCCCCCTGGGATGCGTGCTCACGTCCGGCTCCGGCCAACTCCAGGGGCCTGCCCATGTTGTGGCACCTACCCCATACAACCAGCCTGTATGCATGCAGGCCGCATAATCAGGCAACACACTGCTCTTTACCGTGAGGGACTGGGGAATTAATGCCTGCAATGCACCTGTACCGCCACCGACAAAACTGACAGTCTGTTACCAGGTCGTCCTTGCGAAAGCACCCGCAGAGGTCGCTGCCCTTGTGCACAGGAGCTGTGGATAAGTGTATCACGTTCACACCCGTGCAAGTCGGCCACGGGCAGGGCGAGGCTTGCCCTCGCTTGAATGGCAAAAAGAAGCAGGGCTCGTAGGGAAGCCACGTTATGCTTTTGATCATTATCACGATATGTGACACTATTGTCAATGAGATTCATAGCATGATTCGCCTGAAGATTACCAACAGGACTGGCCGCTGAAGCTGTGTGCCTGGCACGCCAGGCCTTCATAGCCGATCTTTAGGCCGGCTTGAAAGCAAGCAGGCCATTAGAGAGCGATCAAATCAGCTCCGCTGCAGCATCTGGTGGCGTGAGGGGTGCACTGCTGTCTGCGTGTGCCACCGCTGCTGCTGCTGCTGCTGCTGTTGTGGCGCGGCAGTGTCGCGGGGCACACGCCTGTCGGGGTGAGGTCGCGTAGCCGGGGTGTCCGACCTGCCACTGCGAGCCCAGAGGCGCAGCCTGCAGCCGATCGCTCCTGCCAGAGGCCGCGATGGCGCAGCAGGGCACTCTGCTGCCCGCCACGGCGGGTGCAGCGCGCCCCGCCGCGGCGGAGCTGATCGGTACGTCGCTGGCGCGGCTGGTGAAGCTATGCGGGCGCGATAAGAAGCTGGCGCCCGTGGCCGCGGCGGCCAAGGAGCTGCAGGACCACCTCAATGAGGTCAGCGCGCAGCGCAGTGCAGCACGCATTTGTGGGATGGGGGGAAAGGATGTACCTTGTACCGACTTTGTACATGCATTTGTGGGACACGTTTGTGTGTGGTTTGTGTATGTCAGTGTGATTGTAATGTGTGTTGTGCATGGCATGCAGGTGGGCATGCCTGTGGCAGTTGAGGGGAACGTGATGGTGCAATTCTGCTTTATGCGCAGCGCATGCAACAGCATTACAGCAGGCATACTTGGCCCTGTCGCCCGCGGTGACTGCAACCTCTGCAGCCTGGATAGCCAGCATCTATGAAACAGGGGGGCCGCCGCTGCCCAATGCTGCAGCGTTGCGCGGCCGGTTGCGCTGCCCCCGCAGGTGCTTGGTCCCGGGTATGCAGCACGCACCGAGGCGGCAGGGCCTTCCGGCGTAGCCCCAGATGCAGCTGCGGCAGCCAGCGGTGAAGCAGCAGACACGCAGCCGGGGCCCGAGCCCGGCGATGCGGCGGACGATGCGGGCGCGGATGAGGCGGCACGCCAGCAGCAGGCCGAGGCCACGGAGCAGGCGGGCGCAGCGCCTGGCGGGGACGGCGGCGTTGTGGACGCGGCGGCGGCCGCGGCGGCCGCTGCGGCTGAGGAGAGGCGCCGCGCGGAGGCCAAGCGCGACGCCGACAAAGCGCGGCTGGC